TTGTGTGAAAATTCAGCCACAACTCCAATTTTTTTTGCACAAGAATAATAAAAAAATAGCGGTTTTTTGAGTGCCAAAAAGTTTTCAGTTTTATAGTTTGTAGTTGTTTTGTGCTTTTTTCATCTATTTTTGCGAATTTATTCAAATTTTAAACCTAAAAATGACTAGATTTTGTACTTGAAAACTAAAAAAAAAAATTTGAAAAAATGACATAACATTCCCACAAAAAATGCACGTACTTTAGCAAACTTTTAAGAAAAATCTAGAAAAAATCTCTAGTTTGGTTTTCAGAAGATAAAATTCTGAAAAAAAAATCTGAAATCCTGAATTTTCAGTTTAAATTTTTTAAACTTAAAATCCTAATTTTTTCATTAAAATCCAAAATTCTGAATTTTCAAAAAAGGCTGCAAAAAGAATATTTTCAAAAATGCATATTAAAATTTTCAGCAAATGCGCTCTAATCATAATTTTCGTAAAAGTGATGTAGCTTTGTTAATTTTAGAGCTCAATTTATGATTTTAGTGCAATAATGTGTGAAATATGAAGGGCTACAAGATAGTCGTCAAAATCTTAAGAATCATATCTTCGAAGACTTTGCAAACGCGCCCTAATGATAATTTTGACAAAAACTGTATAATTCGGTTCAGTTTAGAGCTAGATTGATGATTTTTGTACCAAAATGTGTAAAATTTGAAGGGCTGTAAGATAAGTCTCAAAAACATAGACTTTTTGAATGTAACAGTTTGCAAAAAAGGTTCCTAAAAACCAAAAACAACCAATGTTTTTTTGCATATGACGAGACGACAAGAAGTCGGATGATGGTGTGGGAAAAAAAAAGTGAGGGAGAGAAGATTAGCACATTTTGGGCGCGAAAAAAGATATGTCGACAAGATTAAAGTGCTTCTTCTTCTTCTTCAAGATTTCTCTCTTCTGAAGAATGAGAAGAAGGAAAGAAGATGCGCCGGAAAAGTCACAAAACTTTTCCTAGGGGCACTGATTGAATTTGACGGGGGAGAAGCGACTTCTTGACCTCTTCTAGGAGTTTTGAAGGACTCTTCGAAGTTCTAAAACGAAAAAAAAAGAAAATGGCAAAGAGTGGAGTCGAACCCGGGAGGTGTGGGGTGGTGGGCAAAAGTGCAAACGGTTGCGCCTCAGGCGTCAGTTGAAAGGAGAGGGCGGCATGGCGATTAAATAGGGCGGAGGAAGCGGCGTAGTGGGGAAGCCGCGTGGAGTGAAAAAATAAATTTTAAAAATAAAATTTTGTTCAAATTAAAGAAAAATGTTCTTCTAGAAAAAAAAAATATATGGCTGAATGAGTCAAAATAATGAGATACATACATGAAATGTGACCTAGAAGAGGAGTTTTGATCAAAAATCACGCTTTCTAATAGGTTGATGAGATTATGACCACATAATTTATGGGGTTGGATATGTTTGGAATGCAAAAATAGGGAAGCTCCGCCCACAAAATGAATTTTTAAAAATTTTGAAATGATCTACTCAAAATTTCCTATCAATTGTTATGAATTTCAGAATAATCGACAAAATATGAGTAGAGTTACAAGCATGGAAAGTAAAATTAGCAGTTTTTTGGGTTATGAAAGTTTGGAATGTTCAAGAAGACGTCAGATTCGAAATTTCAATGAAATTTAAAATATAAAAATAATCTACATAGAAATTCCCATTGATTGGTATAATTTTCATAATGATGTGTTGATTGAGAGCAAATTCAGCAGCTTGCAAACTTAGGGCACATAATTCGGAGACTGNTCTANAAGACGTTACAATCAAAACTTTTGGAAATTTCAAACAGTTCAAATGATCTACAAAAAATTTTCTATCGAATGAATCGAATTTAAACAATAATTTTAAAGAATAGACTCCGCCCCTTTTTAAAGGGGCGGACCTTTTGGGCGTTTATCTGTGC